CAACTTTGTCCCCAAAACCAAGTAAATAAATATAGAAGCTGCACACACGATAGGACTGCTTACGTATTGCTATACATACGTGGTGAGGCAATATATTTACTTTGCCTCACCTCTCCCTGTAATTCGAGACTTGATGGACTGTCAGCCCCAACGCAAGAACTATTCATACTTTGGCTCATTAGAGATCAAATGTTTCCATAAAAGTTGAAAAAGGCACTTAAGCAAATTTGGGTCAAAAGTAGGAATAAAAATGCAGTTTTGGAAAAAGGCCGAGTCATCAGCGAGACGGGAAAGAGGGGATTTCTTTGTCGATTGACGTTTAGAGTTACCAACAACCTTTTACTCCATCCCACATAAATATTTCGTCTTCTTCGTGTATATGCCGTCCACCAAACTGAATCTTCTTCACGTGAAAAATAAATGAACAAGAATGCATGTAATTTAAGTTGTTACAAAAACACACCTGCCCGAAATGCATATATGTGTAGAAGAACCAAATTTCTTCAAGACAGATTAGATAAAAAAGGATCCAAATTGAGCGATGACGAGCTCTTGAAATAAACATCAGTGGCAATAAAAACACTCTGAATCGAATCAAAGGTCTACGTATAATCAAACCGCACACGCACATGTTCCTCCCTCCTCTCCCGATGATAAATATTACAAAGTGGGACAAAAAATAAGAATAAGAAAGGGAGACGTAGATATAAGAAAATTGAGCCGGGGCATGTGCTGGACGACGGGTTAAAGTCTAAAGTTAAAACTGACACCAATTTAAAATATGTACATGGCAGCATGCACATCGTTTCATTGCTATTAAATATCACGATGCAGTACAATCGACTCTCGAGCCATTGTAATTGAAGACCTGGAGCGAGTAGAGGAAAAGCACTTGAGCTGACGTGGACCATCTGCATCTCCAATTTAAATCTAAAATCCAAACAATCTCGACATCATCATCCTCATCGAGAGGAGCTCATCAAATAGTCAGCCTCCCAACAGGGCCAATCGCCTATTCAAAATTCAATGAGATTCAAGATGAAGATGGACAAAAAACGGAGAAAGGGTTGGACTTGTTCATCTGCCCATCGTTATCGCATCCTATCCAGACTCACTTTCGGAGCCTATATTATATTTCACATCTATTTTTCACATCGTGCATGCCCATTCAAAATTAAAAATTTACATTTATTCCAAACGAAGCAGGGAAAGGATTGGATGGGCCTAATTTATTACCCCTGGTTATGCTGATAGTCGCATTTGTTTGTCATTTGTCGCATGCTTCTCTCCATCAACAACCAAACGCACCACTTTTTGCCCCCAATCAAATCCAACCCTTGGGCCGTGATTCGATTAATGCGGGGATACGAGGAGTCCGGCGAGAGAGAGAGTGAAAGGGCTGCTGCACGGGATACAAAAAATGCAGAAATATGATAAATAGCATTTTCCACGGTTGATACAAAGGGTTGACAATTTTAGAGTCGCTGCTTCCTCCGAAATGTTCATACATTAAAGTCCATTGTCCAAATTTAAAATCAAATGGTGGTGCGAGTCGGATTGTAAATATTAAAAATATTAAATCGTTACGAGAAGAGGGATGGACTCGAATAATGCTCTTTCGAGCTGGTACATACTACGAGCATATAGCGAGTGGCTGTTGGGTACTCGTTGATGGTGCATGATGGCAAAAGTGTCCGTCCGTTGTTGCTTCGAAATAATGTAATAATGGGACAAAAAATGGATAAAAAGTGCTCATGCTTGTGTAACATGAGAGTCGTCTTTATGAACATTGCACACAAACTCGGCTTGATAAATATTAAAGAAGAAATATACATTTAACTCTGCTTAATTTTTTCGTTCACCATCATGGGTCGATGTACTCGTTCGCACTCTAACTACTATGCACATACATATGCGTGTACACAACCTACGTAAATTTGAGCGTCACTGCATTGTTAATAAAGAGCCAGTAAAACTCTGCAGTTCAATGATTTTGCATCACACAGAGTTGTTCTCGCGAGTGGAATTATCTTTATCATTAGGAAAGCGAAGGATATGGGATGGATGGATGAGTGGAATTGTGAGTTTTTGTTCCCTTGTTGTCAATCACTAATGAATCAACATTTCATTAATCAACGAGTGGGAAAGGAGGAGAGTTAATTATGGCCGTCGCATCGTACTCCTCCGTCCATTGTATCAATTAAGCCTTAATCACCGAGAGCAAAAGAGTACAAGCAGCCCTGGATCGGATCACAAGAGAATGGGACGAAATAAACGGAAAAGAAATCAAAGGATTAAAAGAGAGGACATTAAATGCAGAGCACACGTCCACCTTCATCTCATCACACGCCACGAATAATGATAGTAAATTACTATTAGTAATACCCACAGAGCGAAGGGAGATGATGCCGAGGTGCTGCTCCTGCTGGAGGGTGACTGCTATCAGTTTCTCATTTTTTGATAGTCTAATCCAATCAGGTAAAAAAATCTCAGGTAGCAGGAAAGGGTTCACTCATTGAAATGATAATTGAATCCGGAGGAGAATTGAATAAAGGGTTCTCTTCGATCTGGCTCCTTTGCTGGCAACCCTTTTGTGAATGCAAGTCTACAGCCTCGTTGATTACATATTCACATTCATCTCTTGGAGGAGACACGCACATCATTAAAGTTTTAGTTATGCGTGATGCAAGACCGTGGACCAACGTGCGCTGGCCAACCACCAGATCGTTCCCACCTCGAGCCGTGGAAGACCAACCCTTTGAACACTCACATATTCATGAGATGACATCAAACTCTCCTCCCATTCCGCCTTATTTGCATACGCTCGCTTTTTTATTCCCATCCACGGCCGCCTCCTTTATAAAATACATACGGCTCTCTAGTCGCAGTCTAGTCTCTGGTCTATCATCCGAGTAATCACTTTCTCAAGTAGCCCGTGCCGTCTAATATAAATGATGCTGGATAATTCGGAGGGGTAATGACGAGCATCATTGAGAGGAGGAAGATTACTGCCCAGCATCGATAGCATTTAATTGAATGTGAATATCCCCAAATTTAAATTCATGTCATGCCTCGGACACACTCAACACTTCACGTTTATAGCGGATGGAGATGGAGATAAGCGGAATTGGATTTTTGGCCCATACACATAATCTCTTGAATGCGTCATTAATGGACCAGGCCGAGTCCGATATATTTATAAATACGCAGCCTACCCGACACAACATTTTGACTGGTTTTAAGCAGACAGAACTGAGGAGCTAAATATATATCTACGTACAACATGTAAATTTCTGAATTCCAAAAAAAATGTGCCGGAAATGTAGACGGAAGGAAGATGGATGTCGTGCTCTTTTTTCTTTTTACTGACTTTGCTACTCCATGAAGTGGATGTGAGATGAGGGTCGGTTCTTATGTGGCTGAACCCCACTGGCCATGGCTGCACTGGATTATGCATCATCTGCAGAGTGGGGCCAAGTTTCAGTTTTTGGGAGAATTCTTATAATGGGATCACAGTTTTGCCTTTTTATCTTTCGCGTCTACACACACAGACCGTGAGTGTCACTCGGAGGACGAGCTCACTGAATGATATTCACACTAATTGATGGATGGACGACCCATTTTTAATAAATGGGGAAAGAACCACGGTGCTCTCCCACTGAGAGATGACGATGTGCATATTTTATGAGGAGACAAGAGAGCGAGAGGAATATTGCTACATATGCGGAGAACGGGACGCAATTCATTTTAGTCGTCGGTGACAGTGTCGCTTTTTACAAGAGATTTGAATGCAGATATTTCTTTGTGCGAGACGAGGAAAGGTCTCACCGTCCTACTCTCGTAATGAATTCAAAGCACCGTTAGCATTTAGTAAGTAGGGATCGAATTCACAGAGAGGCTATAAAAGACAGTTATTCTTATTTAAGGAAAACAGATGCAGATGCAGCTCTCGGAACAGTCCCGTTCACTGCCTGGAACCTTTTTAATAATAATAATGACGACTGATAATATGGACAACTTGTCACAAACGAATATAAATGGAATAGATTTGGTTTCAGGGAGATTTCCATATTCACTGCTGCACAGCCTACACGGGGACGAAATGAGACCAAGGGCACAAATCCTGCTTCCTCATGGGGACCACCACTCCCAAAATGCTTACATATTTAAATTGATAAATCTCTCCGAGCCAGAATGGCCCACTGAAGCACAATGCAAACCATTTCATCCGATTTCCCAGTATTTAATAAATAACAACACATTGTTTGCACCGATTTCTGATGCACATCCCAAATTTCGCAAAACCAGGATTCATGAATGGCATTTTACGAGAGAATAATGCATGTGTGCGGAAGAAATGGAGTTGTAAAGTGTGTGCCATGTGTGTCCTCACCCTTTGACGGGTGTTACTGGCCGAGTACATACGTACATCATTATTACTTTGACTGCGCAGCCCTTTTCCAGAAATATGGAAATCTGGTAGTTCGGAGAGTATATGGAAATGTGCAGCCGCCGACTTGTGCATTGTCCTGCACATCCAATATTCAATATCGTGTCAAAAAATACCCTCTTCCTCCCAAACTTTTGGGCTTTTTAGATTTGGAGAGATTGTGAGCAGTTGATCCCATGTGTGGCAAGTCCATCAATCAAACCCAGCAGTGCAGCAGGGTAGGACTACATTGAGAGGAAGGAGTGATTTTATTTCCGATCTCTCACTCGCTGATCCCCCGCATCGTCATGTCTTCATATTATGATTTCCTCCTTACATGTGTCACCCGTGTCGTCTCCATTATCAGGTCGGAGTCACTAATGCTGCTGCTCCACTGAATCATGGTCAATGGCGAGATATGCAACAGATATGTGACAGATTGGATGGGAGTGGGTGAAAGCGGGTGAAAGGGAGTTATGAACACGATGCATGATTCATAAACATTCAACTCATGTAAAGTGGTTTGAGATGGAGTTGTAAAATAATAAATGTGCTCAAAAGGAGTACCAACCTGTGGCTGGGGAACTGAGACTCCGGTCCATCCGCTTCAATGGTTCGGCTAAAAAACAAGAAATAAATCCACGTTAGCTTTTCGTCTCAAATTGGTCACTGCTGATTTTCCTCTTAAACTTTAACACCATACAAATCGTATAAATTCAACAACTAATTATGGCAACACACCTGGCAGGCCTACAAATCGTCTCGAGTCGATGATATTCATTTTGTGCACTTTTCTAACTGAGCCCGTTTGTATGCAGTATTTCATGGGTGGCAATAATTTAGAGTCACATTAAGTCACATATGCAAACGAGTTAAATTTCACTAAAAACCAAGTACCAACCAACTAAATTATGAGTCTCAAGTTTTCGAGTAGCACAGCACAAAGTCAGCAAAGTCTCAACCCGGCACGAGAAAAGCGATCAGGAATGGATAGGTTTTTAGGACGAGAGGAACATGTCGTTGGTCCCGAGCTCTCCTGCAGAATGTGAGGCAGCAGCATCGTGGAAAGAGTGTGAAGGGCTCCGACCCAGAGTCCCTCCCTTTCACATTAAGATGTAAATTAGACATTTTTTACTCTCCCCTCCGTAAAAAAATTCCTACTCGCTGAACCAACATCCACACTTTGAGCGAGGCACAAAGGCTGCCAAGGCTCAAGTTTCGCCTTAAGTGTGCATTTCAGCCTATAACGGAATGCACCTTCGGGTTTCTCTCTCGTATTAGTATTATTATTACATAACTGCGTATGTGTGCTCAAAGGAAGCAGTCAGTGCAAGCAGGCAGCAGCAGTGCCCTTCTTGGTCTTGGTGGTTTCGTTGTAGGATCACCACTACTTGAGCTCAAACGCAAACTTAACGGTTGACAAGGATTATTTGGTGTGCTGAGGCATGCATAAAAACCAAGATGTTTTTTTATCTCTCGTCATGTTACTTACATTTCAATAAAGAGTTAAGAAGATGAAGGTCGATAAAAAACCCTTTTGACACGTTTGTTCCAACAAAGCACGCGTTAATAACCAACAACCCTTCGCTTCCATCCAGCACGACGACGACGACGAGCATCGTGCAGCTGCCAGAAGACGTTCATCGGTGGCTCGTCATTGTGTAATAGACATTTTTTACACGCTCCTGCTCCACGGAATATTCAAATGGGGCAAAAAAGAGAGAAAGGGTGAGAATATTCATGAGCGCTTTTATTGGAGGAGACGGAAGGTGACTATCAAGTAGCTCAACCCTTTCCCTTTTTTTATCGGACGATGATATCATTAGCACACACTCACCAACTGAGTGTTCTGCATATCCCAGGTATACGCAAATGTGGACACGCATATTCATAGTCCGATTAACTCCTATCCTCCGTCGAATGGGCGGAGGACGATGATTCAACATTTAAATTTTAACCCTTTCTCATCAACCAAATGCACACACATGTAGATAAAAATACTAGGACCTCCATGTTCCCCATGGAGGAGAGAGCACTTAATTTTATTACGTAATTAACATGGAGTTAAATAAAATGAAAGCTCGTGTCGGCCTGTCTCCTTCAGTGTGGCCGGAGTGATGTATGATGTTAATGATGATGATTACGATAACGGTAATGACGGGCAAGTCAACACTTTCGCCCGTGCAACAACAACAGACGACGACGACGAGGAGGAGAGACGGATATGTTGTCATACATTTTCGGCCTCGGGTCCTGCTCACCGACCGACATGGCTAAAAAACTTGGACCCAATAGCAACGATAATAATATAACAACATTGGGAATAATAACATTAATGGTCAGATGGACTTGTCACTGTAATGGATCACTTTCCAAAAAATATATATAAACAGTTTGAGGGGTAGTTGATGCGACGCTTAAAATAACAGGCTTTGTTTTCCAATGAGGAAATTTAAAATTTAGACATTGTCGAATAATGAGGGGCTCCAATACAACGGGTGGTTATTCGTACTGCTACGAACGGAGCGAAAAAATTATAATGAGTGCAACCATTCAAAGCTTATGTTCTCCTATTTTAAATTTTAAATTAAATCGGTTTCACCAGCCCATCGACTACTACAACTATTCTCCGCACCCTTGACATTCATGCTAATGTGGAAATTTTGAATTTGGATAGCAGCTGCCAAATGACAAAAATGTTGGTGTGTCACCCTTCCCTCGTGGCTTGATGGATTCTCGCCACCAAAAAAAGACCCAACAACGCCACGACTGCTTTTCATGTGCGGTTCGACTATATACTGATCAATCCAATCCGATGGTGGTGTCGATGATGAAGATGAATGAGAGAGTGAATTTTGAATGAATTTACCACCTACGGATGGATTATTAAGCTGGCTGAGTCCGGGTATCCGGATAAATGGTTGGGTCACCCGTACTTATTTAGCTTAATTCAGGAAATAAATAATATCCTCGACAGTGGAGGACTTTTTATTTCTTTGGTCGCCAACCACCAAGCTAACATGCACACAGAGCTATTTGCTAGTGGATGATGTGTGGTTTTGCGTATAATTCTATTTGAACAGGGAGCTACTTATTTTATTTTGGGTCCGCAGACTCAAAGGAAATCCACTCAGGTTGAAGATGTAAACAGTAAACACGGAGCATCTTCTTCTATTTGGAGAAGCAAATTGTCATGTGGATCAGTCGGGATGAATTTATAAGAGGGTCAGAGATTTGTGGTTGGCGTGCATGCAGGAGGACGAGGAGGCAAAAAAGGATGGATGGATGATGGGGTCATCCCATTTTAGTTGGCCCAAGAAGATCTGCTCAAGAGCTGAGAGTGGGCTTTGTGGGGATTTTTAGTTCTAATGTGAGTAAAGACGCAACAGATCGGAAGCAAGAAATAAAAGAGTTTACGAATTTTGCGGAATCCTCCGCGGGTGGGAATTACATTCGTCCAAGAGAATCTCGCCAGTTACAGAGAACTCGGTGCGGGGCTTCCATTCACACAGCCGCACAATGCCCACAATCAAGTGTGGAAAAAGTAACCGTATTAGCTGCCAAGTTATCTTGAATAAGTTTGGCCCCTAATCTCCACTGGAATATGAAGAGAGATAAAGGGTTATGAAATATCGCAGAGTCAGAGTGACCGAGGGGAAGCATCGCGCCGGGCAATGCAACCGCTGGCAAGTCAGGGAAAGCTAATTTCATTCAAATCCCATCAAAAATCATCAGAATTAAGATGGATACTCCAATTTCCGATTAAATATTTAATGCTTGGCTCATTCCTCTCGTTAAGTCGCAGACCCGAGAGCTCACTGGGGATGAATTATGCGAAATGAGGTCCACCACCATATTTTCATGCCCTCCATGACTATTACTGAGGACTACTCTCTCCTTCTCCTGAGTTGAGAGAGAGAGAAAGGAGACGCCGATGATCACGTGGACGTAGGAAGAAAGTTTTTTTTACCCGAGCCAGAAAAGGACATTTGGTTGACAAAGTTGTGTCGAGATTTGAGAGAGGAAGGAGTGTGTCTGTCGCGTAAATCTCGTAGAAATGCAAAAGGCGACATAAATTGGTTCCCGTGAACTCGGACAGTTCAAAGTGACCATTCTGGGAGTATTCATATTAGGGTGGACACCGAGGCTGGCGGGCTACAAATGTATTACAATGTAGGGATCTTCGGGGACTCTATTTCTTAATATAGTGCTCTCTGGGGGCCCTTTCCAGCTCCAGCGGACATTGTACTTTCTCCTTCCCCCACTTCAAAGCCAAATTTACGTCCCAACTCCCTCTCGGTGCATACATTCAATTGGGATTCAAAGAAGCATGCATACCAATCCGGCAGCCCAATGGCCAGCAGGCTAGACGTTCGTACCACATCTCTCACTACGTGTACGCATCCAGGGTGGAAGACGATGATGCAGGAGAGGAGAAAGCGAGGCAGGCGATATACGTACTTCAGAGAAACCCGTGCATTGAGTTAAACACTCCAATTTTCCCTGCATTTGGAAATTTCAGGAGAGTAAATATCTCGCAGGGGTCCTTTGAAGGAGAGCGGAGAGAGGAGAGTCATGAGAAATGAAATAAAGTTTGAAATCTCAACCCGGAATCGAGTTCCGTTTAAATGGAAATGTCACGAGTCAAGTACTTGCTGCCTCGGGTGCTGGACGAAGGAAAACCAACGACGACGACTTTTTCGCCATGCCGACCATTCTCCAGCCACTCAACGACGACAAAGGGTTCTCAGCTCCACCAGGTCTGTGGTTGAGGGAGCTAATTTACTCATTTATTTTATTAAGGAGCACAATCACGACAAATAATTGAGACTAAATCATTTTCTCCTCGTTCACCTGCACAGCTCGACGGCATTCGTGATGTAGTTGGCAAAATGTCGTAAAGTTCAGTGCGCCGGATAATGTGCGACTGTTAATGACAACCTCATTTGCTGCCTCAATTCCTCCATTAATACAATTCCCCGAGAGAGAATCAATTATTAGTTTACTTTCTGGAAACACGTCGCAGCAGTTGTTCATTTTTCATAAACGTTGCTTCTCCTTAATTCCCCTCATACATGACGCCCCACGCAATATTCGTGACGTCCTCTCCTTGCCCATATGCCACCCGAATTTAAATGGATCAGGAAGGAGAGCAAATTAGATTTTATTTATGGAATCAAAAGTGGGCCGGCCTGAGCAATATGGCTTCTGCATTAATTTCCTTGCCATGCCATAGTACCGCGGAGTCGTGAATATGCGAGAGGAGCGAGATGGCTACATATAAATATGAATGCGAAGAAGGGTTGATGGCCTAATCGAAACCGGGGCTTGTCACTTGCCCACAAATGCAGAACATGATGAGGAAGGGTTGAGCTTGCTTGGCTGGCTGGCGATAAGTAAATCCTTGTGTGAAAAAACCAAACTCCATTCATTTCAATTCAAATGATAATCAATCTTATAAAAAACAGATTGGCTTTGATTCAACATGATGCCTCCGTCAGGGGGGCATCACCATATCCCACGTCGCCATTGCTGCTTCACTGCTCGGATATTACACTAAATTCTGCAGCAGAATATGGGCATTTCTCGTAATAATTCTCCAAAATGCTCTCTTCACTT